TATAACTTTTTTTCTTATGCTCACCTTTAGAAAGAAAATGCTTCAAAATGGTCGATATCCTTCATAATAATAATCCTTACATTTAATATAGGGTGTTATCATGTTGCGCGACATCTCACAGTGCTTTGCAGAATATACTGTAAAGTGAATTGACCATATATTTTGTGGGTGAAACTTTGCAGCATTTCATCCATCCATGAATCCATTAATTTCTTAATTAAGAAGTCCGAGTGGGGACTCCATCCAATAACTGCTTCCAAAATAACTCTTTCCATTACACAATCACTTCTTTCCAGCTTAAAGGAATTGCAATCCAGAATAATGGATTGAACATTCATGCGAGATGGCAGCTTGGAATTCTGGATTTCTTAAAAACTTCATTGAGAAATTCTGCAAATTCAAGTTCCAATGTAAGATTGCGACCTTCATTGTGAACTGCGAGAGTAGCACTGTACAGTATATGTATCAGAGTATGGGGACAAGATCCTCAAGATCAGTTAGGAATCCAGAACCTGATCTTTTGCTTGCTTGATCCAATAAATGTCATCAAGATATGAATCTCATAAAATGCCTTTTCAGGCATTTTATCTGTTTAAAACAGTCAGTGTTTTGTGTATTTGGCACATTCAAACTAATCCCTTGGCTGACTGCAATAAACAAGTTCCTCTCTCTATGTATGATATTCCAGGTTGTTTACTAACATGTATTAAGTATCATGTGCTGTGAAGACTTACATCAACTGACTCGTCTGTGTGCTTTGAAAAAAATCATTAAGATAATATTTTTTCCTGAAGAAAACAGATTCATGCAAATTGAATAATAATAATAATCCTTGCATGTGATATAACATTTGATATAGCACCTTATCACATCATTGAGACATCTCGAAGCATTCACAGGATATATTGTAAAGTGATTCACTGTATATTTTGTGGGCAAAATGTGGCAGCCAGCTTACACACATCAATATCCCACAGACAACTATGAACCGAGAAGAACTCCCTTGCCTTTTCGAACAGTGCTGTGGGGTCTTTAACATCCATCCACCTGAACCAGCAGATGCGACTTCGGTTTAACATCTCATCCAAAGGACGATGCAACACCCACCCCCAGCACTGCATTTGAGTGTCAGCTTAAACTTTTTGATTCCAAGTTCGGACATGGGTCTTGAATCCACAACTTTCTGACTCGGAGGCAAGAGTGCTGCCAAGTGAGACAGGCTGACATTCTGAGTAATCGAGTGACTAAATATCTGGTTCCCAACCAAAGGCTGAAATCCGATGGCTACTCCTCCTCAGATCTCAGTTGAATGAGTTTCCTCAGTTCTCAGGTTGAGATCGTGGGATAAAGATCCTGAAGCGTCCCCCTGGTGAGTGTAGGCACCGTCTGGCTCACCTCCCCCCAAACTGGACTTCCATTCAGGTGCCTGTGTTTAACAACAACAACAACAACAACTTGCATTCGTGCAGCGCCCCTCACGCAAAGGTAAACGACTCAGAGCGCATTCACTGCAGTTATTAACTATACGGACTCCTTTTTTTTTTACAAAAAACACACACAACCAAAAAGAAAAACTCAAGGGAAAAAGAAAGGATGTGAGTGAGTAACTTGCGAAACGGGAGAGAAATGGGATCACATGTGACCACCGCCACAGCCCGATTACAAATACAAATATATTCTCCTTTGTTTTCTTTGCATTTCTAGAGCTATTTTTGGTTCGTACGGAATTCGGCTCCAGTCGTCCCTCTGCTCTGCATTTTTAGTGCAGCCACTGAAGGGCTCTGTTTGCACGAATATCTTTCCTGTACTGTACTTTGCAGAAGGATGTGTAACAATCCACATTTTGTTTTTGAATTTATACTGGCAGGCTCCTGAGCCATAAAATAAAAATTAAACGACGAAAACAAAGTGGAAGATCTGCCCCAGGGGGATTTCATTACATTGATACAGATCCCCCGGTGTTCCTGCAGCTGGGATAACATTCTCCAAGGTACCTGCCAAGCAGCCTCTTCTCACTGTGAACAGAGGAAGGGAAGATGGAAAAAGGAGCAGGAGGATATTTGATAGCATTTCAATGCTCTTACCTGTGGACTATTCATTCTCCAGGATCTGAAGCAAATCCAGTCTCTGGCAGTGAATTCTGTGCTCTGTGGGTTGGAATGAGCAGCAGAGTGGCCTTCACTCGCTCTTCCCTTTTAACGTGGTCCCAACTCTTGTTAAAATATAATGCATTTGTCTGGCATCTTATTCTGCACAACGTCGCTCTTATATCGATTGGAAAAAAGGCTCGATCGTTCCCCGTTGCACCCCCTCCCCCCACCCCTCACACACACACACACACACACACACAGTAACCGCACATGTTTTCGTGCAAAAGTAAAACCGCAGTGGAAATCCAAATCAGGAATCAACTACTGTACCAAAAAAAATGTGAGCGACCACCCCCCTTTCGCGAGAGTTTATAGCCCCTTCTGATAGAGCGGGACCGTGTGTGACATGAATGCATCGTTCAGTAAAGTTTAACATTAAATAGGGGCCACTCGGGAAGAAATGAAGTGAAAATTGTAAGATGTGTGATGGTACCCGGAATGGGCTGCGGGTCAGCCTGTACCTCACCCTCACTGCTCCCAATCGTAAAGAGCGTCTGATAAAGAGCGGCTGTGATCACACACCGAGTTAACAAAAAAAAAGGTTTTAAAAATGCATTCGATTTCGTTTCGAGAGAGGAGGGGGGGAAAAAAAAGAGAACAAGGGTCTGGAGAATATATCACCAGAGTGACCTGTGCTCCGGTCTTGGATCCAGAGGGAGACTGAACCCCCGACACTTTACGCTGAACCGTCGGATGTTGCATTCTGCAGTTCTGCTCGTGTCACTTTAGGGGTAAAAGCCCAGAAGATTTGATCGGTTTTAATTTGGGTAATAATTACTGGACCATTCTCTCCACTGAGTCTCTGGCCCTTCTCCTGCAATTACTTGCAACTGAACTCTGCCCGCAACCGTGCGGGGTTCCTGTCCCTTCAACTGTACACTGCAATCGCCCCCAATTTATCCTTGTTTTATTTAATCTCCTTGAACAGTGTTGGTCCATCCCCTGAACCCGGCCGATATGAGTAAAACAGGCGAGAAGGAACGCCTCTGCTTTTCGCATCAGCAGATGTGAAAAAGAAATTCCCGACTCGCACAGATATTCCTGGGGAGAAATTCACACAGATCGACTGGTGTTTTCTGTAGCATTTTCAGAGCGACCAGCATTTGGCATATTGTTGAATCCGTCCTTAATTTCGAAGCTGGTTTCTGTTAATTATTTCAAGAGCTACAGAGAGCACGTTTCGCAGTTTAAACTCCATTCAACAATTTGCCAAACGCTCGGCGCTCTGAAATGCTGCAGAAATAGTCAATGTAGACCCAGGTGGATTTTTTTGCCCCATCAATCGAGGAGTTTTCAAAACACATGTACATTTCCCTGTGGGGGGAAAATCAACCATTCTAATCCGCTCAATCAGGAGGTCTCTTGCTTAAAACTTTCCAGTTAAAGTTGCAACGAAGCCCTCGCTGCAGCCGAATATATAATTGCAGTAATTATTGTAGTGTTAACGGTATGAATACAGAAACTGTCTGTGTTATTGAAACTATGTATAGCGTTGCCATCAGTGCCGATTTATTTAGTGGTTTGTGATCGACATTTCTATGCAATTATAGTTACGATCCAAAATCATGCCAATTATGTTTCAAATCATGTATTGCTGTAAGTTTCCAGGTACAACCAATTGACATTCAGTTAATTATGTTACAGACTGCTAATAAGTAGTAGCTGTTGTCTCCGTTGTCTGTTGCTTTGACGATGCAACGATATGAAAGAAGGATTGGGATCATTGTTTTGTTTTCTAATTTGCAATTCAACTGATTGGGAAAAGTACTGAAGAAAGAAACGTGTTCCCTCGTGACATTAAACGACCGAACTCCCATTTCATCCACACATCAGTTTATCATATTGCTGTCAATGAGAGGATCAGCTGGTTCTGCTCTTACAGACAGCGTTTGCTTTCTATCACTCACTGTTGTTCCAATTTTTTAACCCAAATCGAGCTCAATTCCCAGCAGGAAATAAAACGATTGAATACATTCATACGGGAGTTGATTAATGCTGCCCTTGCCGTTTTGCCTTTTTCTAACGCTATTTTTTATAACTTTTTTGGACAAGTTTATTCTATTTGGTTTTCTGCATAGTCCTCGAAATAATCACGGGTAAGCAATCGTTTCTCTTCTTAAAGCTGTATGTATTATGTTATGTCCCGATTTGTAAGATTATTACTTTAAAGTTTAAATCAATTCTTGCTGATGGAAACCCATACAGCTCACTAACATTAACCTGTATAAAATGAACTCTTATATTATCAAACTGTTAAAATCCACATCTCTGGCTATTCTGTTTTATTTAAAATATAATTCCATCTCTTTTTAGATACCTCCTAGAAACGTTTTCCCCTAAAGTAACAGTCACGGCAAGGCGAGAGTTTCAATAAACTTAAACGGTGTACGTGTTTGCAATTGAAAGCACAATATCCATGTCAGTACCAATGAGGTCTGAAGCAAACGAGTGAAGCAGGTCAGTCCTGACAGGGGAGGCTCCAAAGTTTAGCAAAGTGTATCATACCAACAGCAATCAGAAAATAAACTCGTGCCTATCCGACTGACTTCATCAGATGGGAATTTACTCTGTCATCTGAAGATGTACTTTTCTATTTCCTTTGGAGACTTGATGACAGTCTCTCTCTCTCTCTCTCTCTCTCTCTTTCCATTTCTCTTTTCTTGAAGTTCCCTTGTAGAAGGGCACCAGGCAGACTCTCCTCTGGCTCTTGAGGCGCTGATTGACAGCCACAGGTTTTTCCCCTAAGGTACATGACACGTTGTGGACATCTGACACCCTCGGGGTGCCAACACGTTAGAGCTTATTTGCTTTTGCCTTTCCCACTGCATCATTCGCTGTGTTCAAAACCACCAGCACTTTAGGCTGAAGCCAGCGGCAGCACATTGCAACATTTTGATGCGAAAAAATATCCGAAGTCCCCCCGCCCTCCCTTTGCTTTGGAAAACGTTGTTTCTCTTTCTCTATGCCTGTGAATTTCCGGTCATTAATTGCTATGATTTATGGGGCTGATGTTTTTTNGGAGGTAGCTTCACATGTGGTTGGGACCCTGCCTTAGATCCAGCCCCCTCTCACGTTACAAACTATTTATATCTCTTCCACGATTTTTTCCCCTTAAAGCAGTTCCCTGGGACAAGACGCGTTTGGCTCCGGATCACTTGTCATCCGAGAACCAGGGTTAGCTGCTGTGTGTGTGTGTTTATTCAGAGAGAGCCCTGGCTGTTACAGGGCGATTGATCCAGATCGCCTCAAAGACCTTTGCTTTTTTGGAAGCTGTTTACTTTGAAATCGAAGGTGCAGTTGGATATAATTCCAGCTTCTTGGAATCTGAACCTCCTCCACCATGGATCATACAATATTCAGCTGCCTGCGCAGCTCTCATGCCCCAGCCCAGAGCCTGCACCATTTCTCCCAGTCTCCTTTAGCTCTTCATGGAAGATCCGACCATGTGGCTTTCCCAGACCTATCTTCTTCGTGTATCATAACTGGATTTCCTAATGAAGAAAACATGTTTACGGCTCAGCGTCATCACCATCACCTACATCATCACCACCGAAACCATCAACAGCAGCAGCAGCAGCAACAACAGCAGCAGCAACAACAAGCGGTGCAAACCACCTGGCACATTCCCCACATCTCCTCGCCCCCTCCTCCCACCAGGCACACGCTCTGTGTCCAGCCCGAGTCGGGACCCCCGGATCTGGGGCCAAACGCCTCCAGCCTGGTGGAGAGCAATGCCAGCCTGGGCTCCAGCAACGCCAGTGTGGTGGGATCCTGTCACCCCGGAGAGTACGGGCGGCAGCCGATCACTGCTGTGGAGACGGAGAAAAGGCACCCCAAGAGGAAGAGTGATGTCTCAGGTAAGGAGCCCCGGGATCCGGGCGCAAGCCCTCCCTCACCAACCCCCCCACCCACCCACCCGTGTGAATGCACAACGTGCACATCTGCTTGTGGGCAGGTTCCAGGTGTCTCACACCCCCCTGGTACCCAATTGCCAACTCAAAAGTAAAACGATTCCGGTGTTTTAAATAAATATACCGTTCGCCTCCTCTCCGGGGTGACAGCCTGAACAGCCCGGACCCCCACGCTCCTCGTTGCTAACGCCGGCTGTGGTCTGGGTGGGTCCCACACGTTAACGCTCCCCTTTTAAAAGCCCAAATCGACCCATTTCTGCCGCACGCAACAAGTCTGTTTTGCGGTGATCTATCACGATGTTAAAGCGCAGTGAGAACAGAATGGCTTTGCACCCGAGCAGATCTCAAAGAGAAGCTGCGAACTTGCCATTATATAACCCAACTCATCGCGCCGGCAAAACGCCGTTTATTGTGTTCAAATCACACGGAAAATCCCCAAATTTTGCAAAATTTTGAAGCCATCAAAACACCGACCATCTGAAGGATGTGCAGAAGGTGAAGTCAACCTGACACTGCACTGCACTGACACTGACACTGCACCACTCACTCACTTTATTAACGCAGGATCGTCACTGTCACACGAGGTGAGGGTTAATCGTATTTGCGGCCGTCTGACTGGGTTTGAAACCCAAGTATTGATGGATTTAAACTGCGGCATTTGGAAGCGTTGCGGGTCCGGCGCAAAAGAGTGGAGCGCATCGTCGGGTTCCAGTGTAATTGCAAACAGGAGTAAAGCCGAAGCAAACTCCGACCACATGAAATTGTGTTCAAGGGTACACCCCCCGACGACAGTATGTTTTCACGATGCTCTTGACAACTCGTAATTACAACCGCACAAGCAATTCACAGTCACACTCGCCAGCACTCTCACTGTGACAGAAGTGCCCAAACACGGCGATTAATGGAGCATTACTTTAATGATTTCTCCAACTAGTTACTCTCCCGCCCAATCTGAAATAGAAACATATCCCAAATCCTTTACCCCCCACCCCCATCCCCCGCAATTTGGATCATTGCATTTGCAATTCGTTTGCACTCTGTCCTTCGGTGCAACGCACTTCTCCAACACTTCTCTGCTATTCCAGAATATGCAGAATCCACAAATAAGGATAATCAGCTCTTTCCTTGATGTGGTGCCTCTCACGCCGGGGGCCATCTCGAAAACGCACCACTGCTGTAGGGTGTAGTGACTGCATTTTGTAGGTCAACACCCACAACACCGTTTAAAAGGGAATTAGACGAACAGCTGAACAATAAAGTTACAAAAGGGTATGGGAAAATGGCAGGGGGTGAATCTAAATGTTTTCTCACAGGTAAGGGTGGAATGGTCTCCTCCTGTGCTGAATAATTCAATGATTATAAATTAACTTTTTTTTAATAAAAAAGAGGAAATCTCCCAGTGTTGCTTTAACATAGCAATTTTTAAAATAATAATAATCATAATCATCCTTGCATTTGATATGGCGCCTTATCACAAGGCAAAGTGTTTTTTTCCCCAAAGTATTTCAATAAAGTTAATAGAAACAAAACCTCTCCGGGTGCTTGAAGAACATGGGAGTTTTTAACATCAATTAATTTTACCATGGATCGCTAGATGAATGATCTGGAAGGGAATAAAACGAGCTCCAAAACAAAGGACTTTTTTGTTTTGTGCGGTTAGTTCAGCCCAAGGCTTGCACGTTGTTTTTAAGCACTGTTCAGTGAAATGAACTTGCAACGCTCAGAATAAACACGGGGTGAAATCCCCATTTAAAACAAATGAATGCAAACGTTTTGGAAATGTAAGATGTTGCTCGACAATTTCCACAAACTGTAAAATTGAATTATAAACGGTCTCAAAACATCTCCCTTTTCTGTTCGACTCCCAGAGCGCTCGATGGGTTGTGAGGATGCATGCACACACATGCTGAGCGCTCAATCTTTCCAATTCATGAAATAATAATCTTTTGCCAAGATTTGCGCGAAGAATTGCTGAGATTTACTTTCAAACAATAAATCTATCGTCGGTTAATGGGCTGTATTTCCTCTGATTCACACATTCATCACCAAGCCTCACAGAGCAGAGCGTGGGCAGGAAATATAAATGTCCTTTTCAGTTTTACTACAAAGACAAAGCGTTGAGCTGCAAAGGGCCAGACCCCATATTGCTGTTTTTACACCTGCTGCCTGTGCCGAGTTGCTTCTCGTGTTGTTTGTATCCTTTTCCTCTTTGTAAACAGAAATGCAAGTCTTCAGTGGGAGATGGAGGGCGCATTTGCAAAGATCCCATTAAACATCTAATAACAACCCACCACACACTGCAGCATATGGTCCCAGGCACAGCTCTACGGTCTCAACATAAATAGGATCAAAACCCTGAATTCATTGGCAAACTGCAAATGACCCAGCTTAAGTTAATCGGGAAACAGTATGGTCTAACTTTCCTCTGCGGAAAATACATGGAACTGAAATAACTTGGCGTTCAGAGTGGCGACCTTCCCGGCGTGTATTAAAACCAGTGTATTAATACTAAGTGTATTAAAACTTAGGCGGTATCAATAAACGCAACATATAACGGCAAGAAAATTGTGCCGCCCTTATCCTCCAATTGCAAAACTTTGGAAAAGACGGCTATTTAAAAAAATATATTCCTCTCCACTGTTAGTTTTGTATAAATATACACTATAATTGATGTCCTCATACTATAGAGCTCATAATGGATATCACTCAGATAATCATCGCGTTTGATTTGATTTTGCATTTGAATAAAAAAACGAGTGATCAGGAAACTATTGCTGTGGACTTAATAGCAGAAAACCATTACTATGAGAGGGACACAATACAATATTAGTATCAAACGATCCTCATTCCCTTTCATTCAGCGCCTGCAGTTTCATGACATGTCTGGTGTTTATATTCCACTGTGTCTGAATTCTGTCGCAGGTTTTTTTTTGTGGTTGTGCAGAAAATAACTAAACAACTGTCACATCCGCGGAGCCAAAATATAAACCCCGTTCGTATGAAAGCCATCAATCAGCTCAGAGTGCAACTGCCCCGTTGTACACATGTGTCAGTTCATCGGGAGAGCGTTCAGCACATTGATCGCCCGTTTACCGTTTTCGGAAAAAAAAAACACTGAGTTATTTTAGTTCACGCGAAAAAAAAAGTGGCCAATAATTTCATAACTTGAATAATGTTCACCCGGTGCAGTCCTGCAGCTCAGTGGTGAGTGCAGTCGCCCCGCAAGCGGGAGAGCTGAGCTTTATTCCCGGACAGAGCGAAAACTTGGGCAACTTTCCCTACTCCACACGCCTCTGCTTTCCCAGAGATAAGAAGTAGGAATCCGGTTGTTAAGTCGATTGGCGGATCGCTTTTCTGGGGATAACAATCCCTGAAAGAAATAATAATTTGGTCACTTCAATCCAGGGTCCGCTGTTTTTGTGGGACACTGCTCTGTGCAATTGGCTTCTGCGTTTCACCCGCAAACATACAGTCAATTCCCTTCACAGTCTATTCTGTGAAGCGCTTTGAGACGTCGAGAAGACGTGAAAAAAAACGCTTTATCAAATGCAAGGATTGTTATTATCAGTAGTAGTATTATTTTGTGCTGTGAGAGTTTATTTGATAGAAAGCTTTATCCTTATGGCCATGAGGAGTCCTGCACATTTTAGTTAAATAACCTGCATAATCTCTCTTGGATAATTAAATCATTTCTCTTACATTTTTGTAATAGATGTGCATTTCATTTTGAGCTCACCGTGATTCTCAATATGTAGCTCAGCATTAATTATAAGATATAATTATAATTTTTATGATCGTACCGAAAAAGGGCATTTCTTTCCACTGTGCAACAAACAACGTTAACATTTGTCCCAAATTAACTGATGTCCTGAAACCTATACTTGTTTCCTACTGCGAGGATTTTTCTGTCTTCGCCTTCATAACATTTTGTGTGTGCCAACGTGTTGCTTCAATTCGTTCAAGCAAACCTGGGATCTCGACAGAACGAGTTTTAAAACCGAATCTGGCTCTTTTGGGTGGAAACCCCGACAACGTATTAGTTTTCCTGCATTTGTTTCAATAAAAATGAAGAGCGATGACCGTGGCTTCAGCGTCCCGCAAAGCAACACCCCCAAACCCGTTTGCAAAAACGTTCAACATTGTTTTAGAAAATTATTGGCACATGGGAATTCTGATGAAATGCTGCAGTTTGAGAAACGTTTGCAAAATATAACCGTCTGAATAGTCAGCCAGTGAGCAATGCAGCCACACGAACTGATTCGATGCGATAACGAGCACATCGAATCTCTTCTGAAACGTCCCATTTTCACACCCCTCCCCCACTCCCCTCCCCGCCCCCCTCCCCACATCACTAAAGAAAAATAATAATCCTGAATTTTGATCCAGCGCCTGTAAGCGCTTGACGGGATTTACTGTAATATGCGGCGACTGTGTATTTTGAGGGGGTGTATTTTTTGAGCCAATCTGCGGACAGAAATGTAACAAGAAATGGGCTTGAACGTGGCGCTCTTTGCTGTTGAAATAACAGTTGCATCGTCGATGTAAATCTGACTGCAATGTTGATTTGCAGAGACGCAAGAAGGCAGCTACAAGGGAGAGGTGAACAGCAAACCTCGCAAGGAAAGGACAGCCTTCACCAAGGAGCAGATCAGGGAGCTGGAAGCTGAGTTCGCTCATCACAACTACCTGACCAGACTAAGGAGATATGAGATAGCTGTGAATCTGGACCTCACCGAGAGACAGGTAAGGGGGGGGGGGGGGGGGGGGGGGGGGTGGGGGGTGTCACAGAGTTGTGTGTGTTGATTCCTGAATACTGCCCAGGCAATAAAAAAACAACCACCAGCGATTCATTCAAAATTAACTTAGAACAGCAGCATCCTGACCAACTGCATGTGTGTGTGTGTGTGTGTGTGTGTGTGTTGGGAAAATCTCATCCGATTGAGAACACGTTGAACCGAGAGTTGGGTGTAGCGATGGGTTTAACTGTAAACACCAGAGCAGAGTATAAAGATCTGACACAACTGTCAGCCTGTGTTCATCTGTCCAAAGGTAACATGTGCCACTGAAACTGAAGAGGACATGTCATGCAAAGACCGATGAGACCCAATAGATCGAGGCTCCTGGATGTGTCAAAGCAGGTGGGGGAAGGGGAGGTCAAACTGGATAAAATTACATGGGATTTTTTTTTCTCTCTCTCTCTGATTCTTTGATTGCATTCGTGCGTTTTCCTCTTTCGTTGCCCCTCCTTCGTTCCCTTTATCTTATCGGCCGATTTTATTTCGCAGCAGTTTGGGTTTTCCACTTATTGCCCTATTCAACTTCTTTCGAAAAATTCCTCAATGCAATGCATTCCACCGCCCCCCCCCCCCCCCACCACACCCCCCCACACACACACACCTTCTCCTCCACCCCCTTCACTCAAAGCTAATGCGCTAACAAACAAAGTGAAACTGATACCCAACTCAATGAGCAGCCAAACATCAGTTGAAAAATTGTCTCGCTTTGCGAAGTTGTTTGTTTCCTTACTGTTCATAAGGAGACAGGGAAAGGGGGAGTACTCCAGAGAGTGAGAGTGAGACAGGTTACTGTACACAGAGAAAGGGAGACAAATAGAGTAGGCAATGCAACAATATTATTTGCACTGTGTCTTTCACATCAGAGAACACGTCAAACACAAACACACAAAAATACATCTTGTGCTTTTTTGTTGTTGCTTGTGATCTTTCCAGCTTCCTTTTAACCATTCATGGCAAGATCCTGGCTGGATCCACTCATTACAGGCGCTAAAATCGTACTCACTTTGGGCAGCGAAACCTTCGGGATATAATTTTCTTTCCCGGAATGTCACGGTGAACGCTGCTCCCAGTCGGGGGATGTGTTACATTATTTGCGTTAAGCCTACATTGCTAGTTGAATTCTAGATTAAAGCAGAAAGGAGATCTGCAGCAGGAGACCCAGATGTGGTTTTCCCATGTTGTCCTCCACGCCATGCAGACAGCGGGTAATTTGAGCTGCGAAATTAACTCTCCGCGGTTTACACTCCTCCGAGGAGCTTTGATGGAGCTATAAATCCGTAATTGTTTATGGTACACAAGTAAACAGGGCATAACGGGGTAATAATTCTTCCCCCAAAAATCACTCATTCCACGACTGTTTGTGGGCCACTGCTGTGCACAATTGGCTGCCACATTTTCACCCACCAAATACACAGTCAATTCACTTTACAGTATATCCTATGAATCACATTGAGATGTCCTACGGATGTGATAAGGCACTATATCAATGCAAAGATTATTATTATTATTATAACAACATGATGGTAGCGAAGATAAACATTTCTGAGATTTTTTTCCAGAGGTGTTAAAATACTTAAAACTGTAGCTGTTGTTATGAAAGTTGGGGCGTACATGAATACCCTGGGGATCCAAACATTTATGAAAACAACAACAACTTGGATTTATATAGCGCTCTCCACACCGGACGGCGTATCAGAACTCCGTCCGGCCGTCCAGGATCAACAATCAGCTCGGCTCTCCTTACTCACAAATTGTGAATTATTGCACATCATTATTAGCCACCACCAATTTATTTATCTAAATAAACTTATCACTTATGCTTTGATTTGATTTTTTAAACAATGTTTAATGAATTTGTTTGATTTTGGTGCATTTATTGATGCGGAGGTCATCTATATATATATCTGACACTCATAAAAAATCAAATTAAAGCACAAATTATGAGCTTATTTAGATAAATAAATTGGTTAAATTGGCTGATTGTTGACTTAAGTTTTCATAAATGTTTGTAACCATACGTATTCATGTGTGTCCAACTTTTATCATATCAAGTAGCACAATATCAATCAGGGAAAAAAAGTATCAGTCAGGGGAAAAAAAAAACACAAAAATTAATTTAACCATTGGGTCACAGGATGCACAAATATATACCTTGTTCAAATTATTTTACATTTTCAATGTATTAAAAGCATATTCGAGCACTTTAATAAACAGAACAAACATAAGCAGGAAATTATACAAAAATAGTGTTCAGTTGAGTCCTAAGGTATTGGGGCATAAAATAAGAAATAACAATAATCCTTACATTTGATACAGTGCCTTTCATCTCAGGAGGATGTCTCAAAGTGCTTCACAGGATTTATGATAAATAATCCTTACATTTGATATAGTGCTTTTCACATTCAGAAGTCTCACAGTACTTCACAGGATTTAATAATAAATAATCCTTACATTTGTTTTTGTGCCTTTCACATCAGGAGAATATCTCACAATGTTTCACAGGATATATAGCAAGGTGTATTTTCTGTATATATTTTGTGGGCAAATGAGGCAGGCAATTTGCACACAACAGTGTCCCAAAAGCAGCCATGGAGTGAGTGACCAGTTTTATTTGGGGGATTATTGGCCAAAATACTGGGAGAAACTCCCTTGAAAAAAAGTACCAGTACTGCTGTAATTAAACATGCACAACACAAACCGATTACTGCAAAAATATTCGGCAACATTTTGGTCGTAGCATTTATGGCCGTCTTCATAATCATTGATTTTTAGCTACAGTATAGAACAGCTTTTAGAATAACTACAGTATTACACACCAAATATAGTTGTGTGCATAATTTCAAATAAATCCATAAATAATAAATGAAATTGTGCAATTAAATTTGACAAAATATGTTTGGTATAAAAAGGCTGATGTTTATTAAATGTACATCTCCATCATTTAGAATGTGTATTTTGCAATAATAATGAATAATAATCCTTACATTTAGTATAGTGCCTTTCATGTCAGGATGATGTCTCAATCAGTTTACAGGATATACTGTAAAGTGTATTGACTATATTTTGTGGGTGAACATTGTGTATTGTTTGTTACTAATAAGCTGTGTTAACTTTTTAATATGATTATTTAGCTGACAAAATGCACAGTCAATCCACTTTGCAATCTATCCTGTGAAGTGCTTTGAAATGTCTCAACGACGTAATCAGGTGCTACATCAAATACAAGGTTTATTATTATTAAATAGTGTTTAAAAGATTAGATGTTTCATAATATAAAAAAGCGTATGATTTTGATAGACATTTAAAGTTCAGCTACAAAAATATACAGCAACTATACTTTACCGTGAATTCTGTGAGGCACTTTAGACGTCCTTTTGGTGTTTTATCAAATGCAAGGATTATTTATTCAAATGTTATTAAACATTTGTTGTTTCATAACATTTATTCAAATGTTATTAAATTACAAATGTTTCATTTGAGTAAATGTTATTAAACTGCTTTTTAATAAACCCCAATATTAGCAAACTTTCAACAATGTTTTGGTATATGGAACATATTTAAAGTGTCAATTTAGCACTATACATTTTTACATTACAGTAGTCTTGTTAGATGTAAACCTAATGATAAGCAATATTTTTTCAAGTGGATTCCTTGATAGGGATCTATTTGCAATTCCCAATTTAAAGAAATACCAAAACTATCAGCATCAAAGTAAACCAGGAATCTTTTCAAAACCATAGTTAGAACATACGGCCATTATTTATTTTGCCTTCAGGGTGCTATTAAATACAGTTTAGTTAACCAAAAATATATTTAATCTTATATAACTTAAAGACATAAGGATGCATGGAACTGGATAAGTTATTCAGCCTACCAAATCCATTTTTTTTCACAGACCATTCAAAATAAGCCCTCTCATGGATTTCACTGCACCATTTTATATCCTAGCAGAAAGTTCTGTATAGATTGTTGGTCCCCTAAGGCAATAAAAATAGAAACTCCATAATATTTGTCCTTACCCACAGCTACGCTATTGAATCCTGGCATCCTTCCCTCTACCCACATCCCAGGAATCATTGTGTTCCATGGAATACATAAAAATAGGAGTTATGTAAACACAAAAGTGGATGAGAAGGTTGGTGACACGGTGTTTACTGTGTGAGTGAGGTTGGCTCACTTATCTCATCACCCCATGAGCTACCAAGTCACACTAACTCTTGGGTTTATGATTTTGCCCCATTCGACCATGTGTAGGCAAAGTGCCATATTATTATATTGCTTCCACAAATCTCCAGTGAATATGCTTTAGTTTCTCTTAAAGTGTCACTGTATCAATTACTGTAGACCCCAATCCATTTCAGATCTCATCTCTTGGTAGGCTGGCTAGCTCTCACTGCCAAGGTGACAGAAGCAAATCAAGTGAAGAATAGCTTCTCAGATATTTCTTACATTTTACAGGCAAGCACCCCACAGTGTTAGCGTCTCTCTGGTCAAATTTGTATTGGGTCTAACAAAAGCAAACCCAAGAGCATTGCCATCTGGAATTAACAGTTATGAGTGGAGAACTCTTTGAGTATTACAGGCGCCTTATAATATTAGAATTAGTAAAAAGACTTTGGCCAAAATAATGTTCCACCAGATGCCACAAATCCATACTTTTCAGGGTGAAATATCAGGCTGTTATACACATAAATATTTATAAGATTAAAAGATAAATATTTATAATATATATATATATATTAGTAAGGGCTGTAATTTACCTTTTAATCTTAATTTATAAGATTAATTATAAGATTAAGATTAAAATTGTAAGGGCTGCAGGAACAGGGTCTATTTATATCATATATATATATAGGGTTTATATATATAAGGGAAAATTAGTAAGGGCTGTAATTTATCTTTTAATCTTAATTTATAAGATTAATTATAAGATTAAGATTAAAATTG